CGATTGGTCAGAGATCAGGGGAGCGAGCCGGCCAGGGGATGACATTCACATTGTTTTGTTGAAGAGAATCCTGAACAAGTCGAGCCATATGAGGCCGGGTGTTGTCATGTTGAAAGGTAATGCCTGGGCCATGACGATGCAAAAACGGTTGAATAACAGGGCTGATGATCTCGTCGCGGTAGCGCTGTCCATTGAGATTTCCCTCTACCACTATCAAACGGGTCCTCTGTCTTGCTGCAATCCCACCCCGAACCGATCTTTTTCCATGACACAATGATTGACATAAAATTCACGTCTTTGTTTTGTTGCTGAGAATATAAGTTACCAGATGTTAAGGATGAACATCATTCTTTGACATGCATGCACCTACACTTCTGATTGGTTGTTACATTGATGTAGTTGTTAACCTTTCATTATATTTTTTCCATATTACGATGTGGCTGCACTTTTTATGAAAGTGCCATTTATGACACTGTCGACCAATCAGAAGTGTATGTGCATATATGTCAAGGCAGGATGTTTATCCATTGGCCAGTATTATGAGTTAACTGACCTATGTATGTTTGACATTATGGTGCCTTCAAAGCTGTATAAACAAAATATATACTAAATTCAATGTGAGTCCATTTGTTTAGCTGTGACAACTTACAATACACTGTCAGTGGTATGTACAAAGAAGGAAGTTTTAGACATTTATTGATTATTATTAGAACAATATATTTTGTCCAAGAAAAACTGAACTTTTGTAATCTTGAAATAGATAAATAATGGAATAGTTGATCCAAATTGGCATATGTCCCTGCTTAGGATACCTTTGTCTTTGTCTCCATTATTGAGGCTCTTCCAACTTTCTTACCCTTGTCTTAGCAGAAGACTATGCAGATGGATCATCAAACCAGTATTACAACTTGTTCAAGGCATGTTCCACAAAGTGGAGTGTTACTCCACATCTTTAACATAGACCTATGACAGTCGTAGTGCTTTCAGGAACTTTGATTACTTTGAGGAACAGGTGCCTGGAACTTCTACAGAACTTAATTATGATATGTGCATGTATCTTTGAGCAGGCAACAGGTACTTTGTTAATTGGATTGATAGTGGTAAACACTTAAGTTGCACACTGTGTGACCAGATACCATGGTGAAGCTTGCATTTGAGTGGACACTGCTTATGACATGTCATGGACGTTGACCTTGTGTGAGGTTGGTTTACTTGTAGATGTACAAGATCCCTGTACTGGCTCATGCAGGGTCAAACATTGAAGCCTGTATTACTCACTGTCATAAGAAGATTGTAGCTGTGTTACTTGGGTATGTGTCTCAGGGATGACTTCAACTTTCCATTAGCCAACTTTCACTTTGTCAAATAATGTTCAATCAGCTCCAGCCTTTGGTGTCTACATTTCACAACATTTGACATACAATCGAGCATGCCCTTTCTACCAAGATTTCAAAGATTGTCATACAACTCTTGCTCAAAAGTTGTTTGATCAAGGTTACAATATTCAAGGCCTCAGTAAAGCTTTCATAAAAAATTATGGTAGACATGTGGAGGACATTTCCAAATTTGACGCATCAGTGAGAAAAATAATTTCGGATGCAATTCCCTATTTTGATTTATGTTCCTGTGTTGCTTTTCAGGTAAACAATTGATTTGCCTTTGCATGTGTTTGTGATTGATGCACGATGGGGCAGAATCTGCTTACATTTTTGCAAACATAGTATTATTACTGTTTGATGGTGATTCATAAACACATGCTCATGATAATGTCCGAATCATACAATAGAGTCTGCTTTTAGATGAGATTTCTTATGAATATGGAAAGAATTTTGTCACTTTTATGTATATTTTTGTCATCATTAAGTCAGAAAGCTGTTTGTTTATTTGTTTATCTGTTAAGAAAAAATATTTTAAAGAAATTTCATTACAGATGTGTGTTAGGTTCTTATTGCATGGACTACAGATGTTTTGTTTCGAAAAATAGAAGAAATAACATATTTCATTATTATTGTACTTATTATTTTTTCACCCTTGGCAATGCAAAACCACACAAATTTTGTTCCACTTTTCAGGCCAAACCTTGTGGTCCCTACTTTTATGGACATTACATCAAATTGTCAACACCGGAGAATAATCTGATTCCATTATCAATTGGGCCTAAAAGGTAGTGCATGCCAAAACTTAGATACATTAATTTATCCTTAAAATTAATCTGATTTGACTTTTCTTCTATTTTTTTTGTCTTATTTGGCATTGTTTCATTCCACAGACTATATCTGGATGTTTTGTTTGTTTGTTTGTTGTTTAAGACCACACTCAGCAATATTCCAGCTATATTATGGCAGCCTGTAAATAATCAAATCTGGACCAGACAATCCAGTGATTGTTAACATGAGCAAAGAATCTACACAATTGGGATACAATGATATGCATCAACCAAGTCAGTGAGGTTGACCACCCTATATCTGGATGTATAACATGCTTGTTTTGACAGGTGAGGCATAACCATATATTAAATCCTCCTTGTTGGTTTTAGCTGAACTTGTAGTACATTATTTCTATTTTAGTTTTGAAATTGTTTCTCTGAGTTTTTTGTGAGAAAGAAGTTCTAATTTTGTTAGACTATATACATGAAGTGGTCTTGGCAATTTGCTGTAAAAATATGTCCCCATGAATTCATAATTTATGTACCTAAATACAAGGCAAAATATAAACAAATTTTCACAATGTTGTGTTGTTTTTTCTTTGATGATTAATATACATATGCTGTTCTTTAGCATATGGCACGGGTGGCCCAGTCGTCGAAGGTGCTGGATTCGCTGTGCAGAGTTGCGTCCCTTGGGCATGCAGAAACCTATGATTGTGGGTTCGAATCCCGGTTTTCGCCCCAATTATGTTTCTAGGTTTTTCAGCACCATACCCGTGCTCGTGGGTTTCACCAAAGTGGTAAACTTCTGAGACCTGCATCACTTCGGGCTTTCCTCCAACATTAAGTTGACACGCCGCGATATAACTTGAATACTGTTAAAAGCAGAGTTAAACCCAACTCACTCAACTTCTTATGTGTTGTTCAATCATTAGTATGAACATCAACACTTGTGGGGAATCCACCTCAGGCTAGGTGCTCTGTAGACAACTAACATGGGGAGTGGATGTTTCAGCTCTGAGACTGACACTGATTGTGTGACATAGTACCCTGATGCCATGGATTGTTGGAGCAAATCATGCATTCAGTTTTCCTGTCTGTGTGTATTATGTACAGACTCGTGCAGTGGAGCTGGAATATTGCTGACTGAAGCATCTTACAACATTCATTCTCTCTTTGGGGGCACGGGTGGCCCAGTCCTCTAAGGTGTCTGTTTGGAACGCCAGAAACATGATTGTGGGTTCGAATCTCAGTTCGCCCCAAATATGTTTCTTGGTTTGTTGGCACCATTCCCTTGTGCATTGATCTCACTAAAGTGGCAAACATCTGCATCACATATGATTTTCCTCACACATCAAGCTGACATACCATGATATAACTGGAATACTGTCAAAATCTTTGACTTCAGTCACACTGCTTGCAGCGGTGATAGATAATGTGTTTGACTCTCAGAAGCTAATGACAATATCATCTCCTAACCTATACACTCAACAAGAAATAACTTATACTGTAGTATACACACAAATTCAAAATCTTGAGTGAGAGTGAATATTGCTTTAAGGCCACTGCAATATTTTAGCCATTCATGTCACTATCTTCAGACCCTAGGCACAAGCCAAACCTCCACCTGAGATGTTTTTTATGGAGAGTAGGATGAAGAAAGTTGTACAATACTTATGCCACAAGGAGTTGGTTGCATTATGCTGACCAAATTGCTTCCCTTAGTTTTGCCAGGATCTGATGATCAAAGCTTTGAATGGCATATTTGCCATTATTATGATCTTTGCTTTGTCAGCATGGTATCAGTGTTTGTAGGTTTCCCCAAAGTGGTAAACCTCCATGATCTGCATCACTGGGTTTCCTGAAGATCCGGTACAGAATGGATCTCCAGCAACCCATGCTTGCCATAAAAAGCGACTATGCTTGTCGTAAGAGGCGACTAACAGGATCAGGGTCAGGCTCACTGACCTTGTTCATGCATGTCATCGAATCCCAATTGCGTGGATTGATGCTCATGATATCAATCACTGGATTGTCTGGTCCAGACTCGATTATTTACAGACCGCTGTCATATAGATGGAATATTGTTGAGTGCTGCGTAAAACAACAAACAAACAAACAAACAGACACACTATACTTGTGACTAACGGGGGCAGCCTAGTGGTTAAAGCATTTGCCTGTCATGCTGAAGACCCGGTTCGATTCTCCTTATGGGTACATTGTGTGAAGCCCATTTCTGGTGTACCCCGCCTTGATATTATTGGAATATTGCTAAAAGCGGCATAAAACCACACACTCACTCACTCACTCACTCACTCACTTGTGACTAACGGGATCAGGGGGTCAGGCTCGCTGACCTTGTTCATCCATGTCATGGTATCCCAAATGTGTGGATCAATGCTCATGATATCAATCACTGGAGTGTCTGGTCCAGACTTGATTATTTACAGACCGCTGTCATATAGCTGGAATATTGCTGAGTGCCACATTAAACAAGCAAAGACAACAGACTGTTCAAAGCGGGTTTAAACCAAATTCACTCCCTCCCCTCCCACATCGGACACATCTTAATGAAACTGAAATTCTGTTAAACCCAACACACTTGCTCACTCATTCAAAGCAGTGGTTCAGTTTGGCTTGAATAATCAGAGTGAGTGAGTACAGTTTTACGCCGCTTTTAGCAATATTCCAGCAATATCACGGCGGGGGACACCAGAAATGGGCTTCACACATTGTACCCATGTGGGGATTCGAACCCGGGTCCCCGGCGTGACGAGCGAACGCTTTAACCACTAGGCTACCCGACCGCCCCTTGAAAAATCAGATTTAACACCATAGTAAACACGAGACGAACTATTAATGCACATGTTTATTCTTGTAATGGAAGGGAGCTGTCACACATATTGTAACATATCCCGATCAACAGATTGTTTATCACCTTCATCATCATGTAATAGAAGTAATGTTTTACCAGCACATATGATAGCAGCTATCATATGTGCTGGTAAAACAATAAGCTCTTTTGATATTGTCCTTCAGGAATGTAGTATTACTTCAAACTTCTTTTGAAAAGGTATTACAAACTAAATTTAAATATTGTTTGCAACTTTAGTTCTATACATCTTATACTCTAAGCATTGATGTTATGAATAGTAAATAAATAGGCATAGATCATTTTTCCGTAAGGGGTATCGGTAAGTCGTAGACTTAGAGACTGATAGCGTTGTATCTTCTCAAGGGACGTCGCTGAGGGATATTTGGCAAAACCTGCAAAAGAGTAAAAAGGTATTAAACTACGTAGGATGTTTTCGCGTTGTTATATTATTTACAAGCACCTTTCTTCCTCTTAAACATTTTCAATGTGACTTCTTCATGTTATTACATCAGGCTCACTTGACATCAACAAATTGATGATTGTCGACAAGGACATTTTGTCTGTTTATCCAAAGGTATAAGTTTAAAAGGGATGCCAAGAGTTAAGAGTATTCCCGGAAAATGTGTTGTCTTGCTTACCTTCAGTTCGCCACTCAGTCTGGTTGTAGCATTGGGTGACCGCCAGATGGACGTGGGGATATACTGTGAAACAAAAGGCACTCGTGTTGAAACATGACATAGGATAAATAGTGTTGGTTAAAATACATCAATGCCTGGGGGTACCCTTAGTCATGTCTCTGTCACATGACTTAACATAATACCTGGAGATCATGGGATAGACTATCTCCCCAGCAACTTATGCTGGCCGTGAAAGGCATCTGGTGGTCAGACTCTGTGACTTGACTGATTGTGTGTCATCGTGCCCCGACGGCGGAGATCAGTGCTCACAATATAGATTGTCTTGTCCAGACCTGATTATTTACAGACAGTCGTCATTTAGCTGGGATATTTCTGTGTACGGCGTTAAACAACAAAGTACAAGAAGAAATTAGTAAATTAGGAAAAATGGTAAAGTTACTATGATATCACCAGGCGTTCTTCATGTACACACAGGCAGGCTTTTACACCAGACCGCCACTGTGCTCCAGTAGATAGAACGCCCCCTCAGAGAGCGGAAGGTTGGTGGCGTCTCCGGTCGCGTCATACTAAAAGATGTTTAACGATCGTACTTATTGTTACCCTGCTGGCGCTCGACATTCATAGGATTTTACAAGGACTGACCGGCTCGGAGTCAGTTTACTGTGTCTGAGTAGGTATCAAAGTTTAAGCGCGGCAATGTGTCTCTGGACTATAAAACCAGCATTAGTCCAACTAGTGCAAACAGACACACACACACGCACACGCACACGCACACACGAACACACACACAGAAACACACACACACACGTACACACACACACACACGTTAAATCCCATTTCACCTCGCCTCTTGTACATCAAGTTACCATTACTTACTTTCTGGTATGTGGCATTGTCTGGGATGTACATGCTGACGGCAGTCTTGGCCCTTTGGACATATGTCTGGATTTCTGGAAGTGTGTCCAAAGATTGAGCTGGGATGGGCAGGTGCAATTCTACTTGGATCTCTCCGTGTTCAGGATCCCAAACTGTGACATCGGGCTTGATTAGAAGCAACGCATCCCTGTACTTCTGGAGCTCCTCCTCAACCATCTCCTTGATGGTCTCATAGATGCTCTGCAGGTGATCCTTGAGGTTGTCTTCCACCTGCCAGTAGTTGTAGGCCCACACACCCTGAACACCAGCAATAAGTCAGCATCACTTAAATTCTTGCTTGATTATCATGTTCAGTGTTTTTTACTTGGTAGTTACTTAAAACTTCACCTAACCTATAATATATCAGATGTATGTAAGGCTCAGACATCTACGGCTCCGCAAGTTGCTTACAGAGTTGCGTCCCTTATACTTGCTAGAGACCCTGATCGTTGGTTTGAATACCAGTTCGACCTTATTATGTTTGTAGGTTTATCACCACTATACACATGCTGGTGGGTTTCACCAAAGTGGTTCACGTCCAAGACATTACTCATTTCAGGCTTTCATTTCACACGAAGCCGACACAAAAAAATAACAGACATACTGTGCCAAGCGGCATTAAACTCATCTACGTTTGAACGAAGTCTCAGTAACTGTGGTTTAGGACTGACCTCCTGGTAGGCATCATTGGTGAGTGAAAGGAGATGCTGGAGGTCCTCCTGCTTCATGACGTCTCCCAGACGGGAGGTCAGCATCTTCTGCGTGTGCTCTACAATCTCGTTGTATCTGCTGGGAATGTTCAGGTCCTGGACATGGTTGGTGATGGTGTTGAGGTATTGCTGGTAGTCAGCAAACTGAAGCCTGGCAGCAGCCAGTCGAGACCGGTTCCTCAGGTTGTCCATGGAATCTTTAAAAGATGTACAGCATTACATGGTTTTGCCAAACTTAAAGTAACTGAAATTTGTTCGTCATATCCGGAGTTTGTCACTCGCGAAACTTTTCCGCCTTTTTGGATTCCCATATTATGCATTTACGGTCTAGTATGCACAAATGTATAAAGAATACAAATTCCATATTTTTTGAAAGAACAGTAGCTTATTTTATGATGAACTCCCATGGTTATATCAATTGTATATTTGATCTCCTTATGAAAACCTACTCGTTGTCGTTAAAATGTTTCAAATTAATTACCTGTTATTGAACCCTGCAGATAGGTGTAATGTTGATGGTAGGTGTTCCTGAAACTCTGCAGCTGCTCGTCAAGACCAGAGATCATCTCGACAGTGTTGATCACGAGCTCGTCCACACCACGCTACAGTGAGAACAAAATGGAGACTTATAAATAATCTTAACTTTCATTGTTAAATAATATATCATTAACAGATTCAGATATCCCATTTAAATAATTAAAATAGATTGAGAACAAACCTTAAACTTGATGAGCGTCTCCGCCACAATGGCCTGATACTTCTGCCTGATGGGGAAGTCTGTCATCGTCTCCATGTATTCAGCCAGTTTCTGATTCGTGGAAGCAAACAGTTCCTTTGTCGAGGTGACCAGGTCCTTGTATGCTTCACTGAAACAATTACTCTTGGTCATAATGTGCGAGTGTGGTGCATGTATAAAACATCAACGCTAGAGAATATCCAGTCTTGATTATCCGCCGAAACAGATTCCATTGGGCATAAAAGTTAAAATAGAGGTGAAAATGTAGGAGTTGATCACTGGAAATCAGTGGTGACACCAGGTGTTCGACAAAATGGGAAGCATGTCCTGCCCTGCTTGTAGCACCGCCACTCATACAATTTGCATGAAAAGCACGTGTTTGTTGCCTGTAAAGCTGCGTTGAGCAGTGTTTCAGCCATATCACAGAACGCAAGCTTGAAGTGGGAGCTCGAAGTGATGCAGGTCATACGACACCGGCGTGATGAAATTACAAGAACGGGTTTGGTGCTGACAAACCAAGGATCATGTTTAGGGATCCTGATTATAAAGTTAATCAGATGTGCAATGTAGTTGGTGCTTTGTTGAAATGTATTTCCGACAGGGCAATGTTTAACTAGAGGCTCACAGCCAGGTAACGCATACTTCTATACTGGTATACTGATGTACTTACAATGCCTGGTCGAAGTACTCTCCCATGGCTGCCAGGTGGAAGTCATTACGGTTGTACATGCGCCTGATCTCCCTCCTGACAGAGTCCAGCTGTTTTTCTATGATGGCCATCTCCGACTCCAGCAGGGTGAAGTAGGGTGAGAGTTCTTCCTTGGTGGCTTGTGCAATCCGACGGTACTTGCCTGACAACTCCTGTCCCACAGACTCGTACACAGAGTGGAAAGTCGTCTTCGCACTTTGGCCATAGTTTTCCACCAGACTGGTCAAGTATGCCTTCAGAAAGAAATGGATACTAAATCAGAAAAAGACGCACAATCTGTATTTTCTTAATAAAATAAAGTTTATAAGGTTTCGTATATATTTATTTGAAATACGTTTTAAGCAATATTCCAGGAATATCAGAACAGAAGACTTCAAGGATGTGTTACACCCAATGTACCAACCCAGGGAATGAACCCGGTCGCCAACGCGCTAACCACTTGGCTACCCCACCACCCTCACAACTTAGATACATTGTTAAGCATTCTGTACCTGAACATCGGCGATCGTCTGTGGCCTCCAGGACAGCCTTGTATGGAGAAGGCGGGATGTGTTAAGTCTGAGGGCAACTAGGCTGTCTGATACTCGACGGGAGTTCTCCTGGTGATATACCTCAGCCTGCATGGCACTTGAGTTTACATATCTGGCGTTCATTTGCAGTGTCTTGCCAGGGTTGTCTGTAGCAGAATGTTGAGACTAAATTTTTTTAAAGTTTCACACGGAATGATTGGCCTCAAATAAATAAAAACGATAAAACCCTTTCCATGATAATGAAAGCATCACCGTTATAAATTTATAAACTTATAAGGGAATATGCATATTATTTAACCTACCCAGATCGTAGTTTGTTTGGAAGTCCACCATTCTTCTGTCAGGGTCTACTGTAAGGTGTGCTTGGACAATCTTGCCTTCATAAATATTCCTGAATTTCAGCTTGTAAGGAGATTCCTCCACCTCACCAGTGAGATCCATGTTCTTGATTGGGGTCTCCATCTGTTACAGTGAATGAGTGAGTGAGTGTGGTTTTATGCCCCTTTTAGCAATATTACAGCAATATCAAGCGGGAGACACCAGAAATGGGCTTCACACATGGTACCCATATAGAGAATCGATCCAGGGTCTTCGGCGTGGCAAGCGAACGCTTTAACCATTAGGCCACCTTGCCACCCTTCCTATCTCTCCCTTCCTATTATCTAGTGATGAGAGTTGTGTTATTTACGTTCACATCAATATTTACGCATAACTCATTATGAATTTGACTTTCTGTATGAGTATTAGGTATAATAGATAGCCAATCGTACCTGTAGTTGTATCTGCTTCCTCAGTTTGTTAATCTCTCCTCTGAGAGCAAAGTTCTTTCTTTCCCTCCTGGCTGTCAGGTAGGACATACTAGCTCCAGCAGATACTTTCTCACTGGAGCTGCCGATGTGGGATGCAAGTTTGACGTCCACATCTGTGTATGGGTGGCTAATGCCAACCACAAAGCTATAATTGTTGTTGCCATAGCCATAGGAAATGTCCTCCAGATGGGATGTGAAGGTGATTGTCTTTCGGGAGTCACTGGAGTAGGACAGCTGGGATTTTCCATTGAAGATAGTCCTGCCATCATTCATCAGCATTTCTGTGTCGATCTGGATGTTCTGAAGATTATTGACAGTACATCAGATTAGAATGTATTGACCTCATATTGTAAAAATGTAAATTGTTGAACATTGGACAGTTAAATCTTGTGAAATTAATTTCAAAGTATCAATTTTGTCATGAAATGTTCTATGTTAATGTGCACTGTGCTTACCTTGCCAACAGAAGGAAGTCTGAGAGAGAGATCTGCCTGCGTGGATCTGTCATCAGGTGTCAGGACAGCTTTCATGCCAATCTTCTTTGTGTCGTCTCTGTCAGCATCCCAGGAAAAGTCCCCATCAAGAGTTTTCTTTGAACCTGTCTGACTGTACGATCCATCCATTTTGAGACTTCTCATAGGTGACCCCACTTTGAAGGTGCCCTCGAACATCTTACTGTAGCGGCGGCTTCGGTCCTTGACATCCACATCGTAGAATAGCTTTTGCCCAGCATCTTCATTCCAGATGAATTCTCCATGACTCTTTGTCTGGAGCTGTGATCTGAGGACGTTTCCAATGATGCCAACAGTGCGTGATGGGTGGATAAGCTTTAGTGTCAAGTCTTTGTTCAAAAGAGACTGCCTGCTTCTGTCTGTCAAGGAGGTTTTGATTCGGATGTTGCTCTCTGGCTCATCTCTATCCCAGTTAACAAACATGTCTCCATCAATGTTCTTATCAGCAATTTCTCCTGAAAGAGTCAGTTGCATTGGCCTTGGCTTCCTCATTGTGAATGTTCCCTGCTCCCTTGAGCCTCGGGAGATCTCCATGTCCACATCCAGAACAGTGTTGCCATTGTAATCAGCTCCCAGTTTCTCTGTATATTTGTCTGATCCTTGATGATGTTCAAACCTCAGAGCAGTCAGTTTCGCAGTTTCAAATGGAGTAACAAGGGTGAAATCAGTTGTCAGTTGTTTCTCATACAATGAATCTAAGAATTGATAGGATCCATCAAATGCTATTTGGTCTCTTGGACTCCATGTGGCCTCAATGTGAGATTGGTATTCGTTGTGTCTGTGGGTGTTGTGTAGAGCCAATTTCATACCATTGGAAAGAGATATCAAACCCTCCATTTCTAATGGAGATGTGTAGCCAAGAGATGCTTCACCCGTGAGAGTACCAGTCTGAGGGGTTTGTATTGTTCCTGTGGATCTGAACTTCCTCAGTTCACCAGCATGTGTTAAAGAGATCTCGGCAGAATCAAACTTTTCAAATGGCGTTGAGAGGCGTGCAACAGCAGTGTACTCAGGAGAAGACATGTCAATGGTGGACTCAAGACCAAAGCGATTGCCGTTTCCAGCATCCAGTTTGCTTCCTAGGAGGTATGTTCCAATACCATGCTCAAATGATGCTGATGCAGAGAGAGCCTCATATTGTCTGAAAGGTGTGGTCAATTTGACATCCACGTCATATTTGGGTGAGATTGTTGCATGGAGTTCTCCTGTAATCTTCTGTCCTTGTGCATACTGTACAGCCCCATTATAGTTGATGCCATTAGTTGTGGCAGTATGGTCGATCTCAGCCTTGGTGAATTCATAACCTTGGAAAGGTGTACTGATTTCTAGGCTGCTTTCTAGACGGTCAAGGTCATGGCTGAAATGGTTGATCTTAGCAGTGATCTCTCTCTTGTCCATGAATTGGATCTTACTTTGGGAGGCAAAGCGGGTCCATGTTCCGGAGTGATCAAATGAGAAGCCAACATTTCTGTAGGGTATGAATGGTGTCGTGATTTTGATCTCACCATGGACATCATCTATTGCCCTGAAGGCAGCCTTCATACTTGCCTTCTTCTGGTTGTAATCACCATTGATGCTCATCTTGATGTTCCCCAGCTCACCTTCCTTGCGGACTTTGATGTTTCCTGTCTGATGAGCTCCTGCCAGATTAAAGGCAAATCCTGACCTGATATCAACATTCCCATTTCTGACCCGGAAGGATGTGTCAGTTGTGATTCCTCCATTGGTGCCCATGTCAGCAGACATCTTGTTTTTGAAGTTGGTTGGTGTTCCAGTGACATCCAGCTGTACAACAAAAGGTTGCGTGTATGGGTTTCTGACGGATACTTCAGTCAAGAGCTGCCTTGTACTGAAGACGTTGTTTAGAGAGGCTTCCAGTGTTGATTCTCTGACTCCAATGGATCCTTTAGCTTTGAGATTATTGATATCACCATCTTTACTGTAGGACACCCTCATGCTTTCCATGCCTTGAATGTTGCTGACAATATTCAGGTTACCTCTCATCGAACTACCAGTATAGACTTCAGAATCTGCTGTGATTGACTTTCCAATAGCTTGCACTTCCAGATGACTCTTGCAGTTGGCAATGGGTCCCTCATGAGTAAAGATGATTCTGCTGTTGTCGAGGTCTCTAAAAGGAGTTTTCAGTGTAGCGCTTATGTCAATTGTTGGTGACAGCATTCCATTAACAGTCATCAGTACTTTTTGACGTTGGCCATAGGTGACATCAATGTTTGAAGTAAGACGGCCATTCTTTACAGAATGATGGAACTCTCCAGATTGGCTCTCATATCCTTGGAAGGGTGTTTTCAGTTCAGCACTGGCTTGCATGTGTGTCAGTCCAGATTTTAAGAAGGTGACTTTGCCTTCAACAACCTCCCCGTCCATGTAGCGAAGATTTCCTTCAGTATTGAAGCGGGATAGGGATCCTGAGTGCTGGATAAACCCTCCGACATTTCTGAAGTTCTGGAAAGGACTCCTGATTTTCAGATCTGCCATGATGCTGTTTTTGAGACTGGCGCTCAGCTCAACCTCGAGTGTAGAATCTTTAAGGTTAAGAAGAGCTGTGGTTTTCAGATCACTGAGATCACCTTTCACACTGATGGAACCCTTCATGCTTTCATAGCCAGGAATGTTTGTTGTGATGATGACGTCCCCGTTTGTCGATTCTAACTTTGCAAAGTTGGTCTGTGCAGTAAGCCTTGTCCGGGCAAACTCAAGTTCTGCATTGCTTTTCAGATTGCTGAGAGGTCCAGTAGAAGTAAAAACGGCTCTACTAAGTTCATAGTCCCTGAAGGGAGTTTTGAGCACTACATTTACATTGATATCTCTGGCAGCATCTGCAGTTATGTCTGATGTAATTCTCTTCCCGTAGCCATATGTGACAGCTGAGTTAGATTTAAAGTAATTGCTTCTGGAATCATGTCCATATTCAACTGTCATCACTTCATAGTTGGCGAATGGTGTCTTCAACTCACTGCTTGCCTTCATCTGCCTGTATCCATTATGGGTGAACTTTACCTTCCCTTCAATTGTCTTCCCATCCATGTAACGGAGCTGTCCTTCACTACTGAAGTCATTCCAGTTTCCTGTGTGATCAACGACAATAGCTGTATCCCTAAAGTCCTGGAAGGGTGTTCTGAGAGAAACGGTTCCTTTGATGTCTTGGGCAATTCTGCCTGTGACATCAGCTTCAATGGTGGAATCCTTCAGTGAAGCTGAGACGCTACTTCTGAAATTGTCTCTGGTTCCCTCCTTGTTTAGAGATGCCTTGACCATTTCCATACCTTGAATGTTAGAGGTGAGGGAGAAGCTAGCTCTGGTAGAAGTTCCATGTTCAAATGATGAATCAGCAGAGATTGATCTGTCCAGAAGTTCCATTTCTGCATGACTCGTGCAGCTGTCAATTGGTCCATTGTGACTGAAAACAAGTTTATTGTTTTGGAATCTACTGAAGGGTGTTTGAACAGTTAGATCAAAGCTGATCTTAGGTGTTGTTTGGAAACGGAGATCAGATGTAATTTCTTGACCACGCCCATAGGCAATGAACGCATTTGATGTTATTTGAGAGTCCTCAATAGAATGACGGTATTTGAGAAGGGAAGTTTCAAATCCTAGGAAGGGAGTCTTGATTTCTGCTTTGGTATCAATATGAGAAAGGCCAGACTGCCAAAAAAGTAGGGAGCCCTGCAGAGCTTTACCATCCATATATCTGATAGTGCCTTCACTTGAAAACCTTTGCCTGTTTCCAGAATGTTGAAGAGAAAGTCCAACATCTTTATAATCTTCAAAAGGTGTCTGCATGGTTAAAGATCCTTCAATGACGCCATCCGTTTTTAGCATGAGAGCAATGTCAACTTGATCATTGTCTATGGTACCAGTAGCTTTGGCATTCATGTCACTAAGGTAGCCTTCTTTGTGAACCTTTAGCCCAATGCTTCTGCCTCTCCAATTTCTCGTGTAGCCAATGTTGGTAGATAGATCTATCAATGGATACCTGTAAGTGAATGCTGAATCCGAGTTGAAGGCATATTGTGAGCCAATTGATCCGGATACCTTATTTGTGAAACTTCTTAGTTGACCATCATGATCTATAACAAACTTGATGTTGTCAGAAAAGGGGGATTTGACAAGTAGTGATGTGTCCAGTCGTCCATTTGAATATCTGTTCTGACCAGAAATGTCAATAGTTTGATCATTTCCATAGGTGATAACCATACCTCCTCGTATGTTACCCAGGTAGCCACGTTTATTAAATGAAACTTTAGTTTCTGTCATGCCACTGAAAGGAGTTTTGAGCATGAATGTGCCAGTGGATCTGAAGCCATGATTGAAAGTTAGGTCCACTTCACCAGTTTTCTTTGCCATTTCCATTTCTCCATGACCCTTAAAATTATCCCAGGTGCCTTCTTGCCTAACAGATAGCTTGTTCATTTCATAACCATAGAAAGGTGTGCTGATGACAAGACTGCCCTCATACCCCTTTGCCCAGTTCAGTTTCAGATCACCAGCCAGGTTCTTGGCAGAAGCAAATGTAACATCAGCATGTGTTTGAAGCGACATTCTTCTCAGAGCATGTTTTAGGGATGCACTCATGTGTTCCATTCTTTCAAATGGAGTCTTGATGGTGACATCGATGACAATGGGGGTTCCCATGGCGTAGACTGCATCAAGGCTTAAAGTCTTCCTTGGGTAATATTCAGTTTCAATGTGTGAACGTCTTCCTTTGCCTGTCAGTTCACTGGTGGCATACACCTGCATGTATTGGTACTCATGGAAGGGAGTATCAATCCTCATCTTTCCGTTCATGTCGTCCAGGTTCCAGTTTAAGATTCCAGCAAAGTTCCCCAGGACTGGGGTGATACCGAAGTTGGCTTTGCTCATGAACAATCTACGGTCACCGTTGTATGAAAGTCCAGCTTCAAAGGATTTATAGTCATCAAAAGGAGTCCTCAGTGTTGCCCGGTAATTGTTCAGGGTATCAGGAGCTATGTGTGCTTCAAACTCAAAGGATTTTCTGATGTCATAGCTGAAGCTTCCTCTGGATACCAAATCAGATCCTTCCCTCTTGTGGGATGCCTTCAACACAATATCCCGGAAGTTTTCATATGGACTTGTCATCCGTAGGCTTGTTTCAATATTCTCTGTAGAAGGTGCAGCAAAGGATCCATCAACTGATACTCTGTTATCTGGAGCCCATTCTAAGTCAGCATGTCCAGTGAGTGGATATGCTGCATAGCGAGCATTTACCTTTCCTTTGAGGTTTGTTATGGGTGATTCGAGAGTGATATCCGACTCTGCTTGCCCATTGGATCTAATGTAGTTGATGCCTGCTGATCCTAGTATAACCTCTCCCTTCTTGATGTTAGATGAGTGTCTGATGAAACCTCTTCCATGTTCATGCTCAAGATTGATGTCCATATTGCGAATTGATTCCCATGGAGTTTCAATTGTTACTCCTCCTGTGGTTCTTGTTCTGGCTGATGAAGCATGGTTTCCAAATATGTTAACAAAAACTCGGTTGTTTCTTCCCCACTCGGCTGTCATTGTACTCTTCACGTCATTGTTAGTATTTCCGTGTTGCCAGCTGTTGGTAAATCGCGAGTTTGGAGAAGAGAGGGTGAGCTTGCCAGTGTTTCGAAGCTGCCATCCCGATCTTTCGTGGTTCATGTCCAAATCATACATGTATTGGTCACCGTTGATATCCAGGGCAACATCAGTTACAAACTTTCTTAAATCATCATTGTGAGAGAGACGGAGATTAACAGCTTGCATACCCTTGACGTTGGACTTGAAAGTCACAGTTCCTTCAATGTCCCTTTTCTGGTCAGTGCATCGGTTCTCTCCTGTCAAAAGGAGCTTGGCATTCTTTCCCTCTAAACTTCCCTTCATTATGGTATTCAGTGAAGGTGTCATTACATGACCTATTTCGGTGCTGAAGCTTCTGTATCCTTTGAAAGGCGACGTTCCCGTTATAGTGAGGTCTAAGTTTCTCATAGAGAAGGGTTTCTTCATGCTCACAGCAGTAGTGATCTGGTTCTTCTTCCCACCCCAGGAAAGCTGCATGGAAGATCCATATTTTTTCTCATTTTTGTCACTGCTGGCTTGAACAATTAGGTTCTCAAATCCTTCAAAAGGAGTTTTCACTCTGACAGAGCCATCAAGTGACTGTCCAGTTTGTGTCTGATCCCTTTTGAAAGATGTATCTACTTTGATCTTCTTGTTAGCCTCCCAAGAGAAATCAGCACGTGTTGTGTACTGCTTGCCACTGGCATGTTTAATATTGAACTCCAGGTCTCTGCTTGGGTATTTCAATGCAACTGTGGAACCGAAATTGCCAGGTGATTTTAGGTTGAGCTTTCCTGCAAGGAGGAATCTTCTGGAAGTGTTCTTGTCAGCATCCCATTTGGCATCTGCAGAGCCTTCATAGGTTACACCTCGCCTTTCCCCCTCCACCTGAACAATGACATGTCTTGTCGGATATGTAATGTCCATTGTCCACTTCGCTGTAGGTGTCCTGGAGTATTTGAAGCCTGTGTTGATTCCATAGACATCTCCATCATAGTCAGCCTGGGCAGAAACCTTGAGGTCTTTGTTGTCAAGGTTAGTTGAAGCAGTCAGTTGGATTGGCTCTGTGTGATGTAGGTTGATGTTAGATTTTACCTGGTGGACTGTAGCCTTCCGTCTTTTGTAGGTTGTTACCATAGTAGACATTTCTTTGTCATTGTAGAAGGTCATGGAGTGTGTGTAGTCTTTCCTTGACTGGATCAGATCGGTCTTCAGACTCACTTGTTTGCCAGGATATGAAAGGCTAGCTTCACCAAAGAGATTAAGTGTCTTCTTTCCACTGTTTTGAAGTCTTAGAGCAGCATCAATGCTTTTTCCTTTGCCATAATCAAATGTGATGGAGGAGTTCACATTGCGACTGTCGTGAACATGCCGTCCTTTAAGGCTTAGTTCTACATCCTGAAATGTTAGTCAAAGAACCAATTTAGTAACTGATTTATGTGGATGATTTATATATTTTGAATGTTGCAATAACATGGTGTTTGGTATTATTAATGCAAATTGTGTGTGTGGCAGGTGCTACTGGTATGACAGGACATCCTTACCCTTTTCACGAACACCTGGTGCCATCACTAATTTTCTGTGATCCATTCATATAATTTTCACCACTTTTTTGCCTTTTAATAGTTTTGCCTTCAAATATTTAGACTGGTTATTCCCTGGCTTTCACATTTAATATTTATAAGCATGTTAGATACAAAAACTCACCAGTGGTCCTACAGCACTTGTGATCGTGATGTTAACGTTGGCTCTGGAGCCAATATCATGGTTCACCAGAACATAACCTGTGATCTGACGGGTAGTGTCCTTGGATTTAGGTCCATATCTAAATTTTGCACCAGCTTCTGTGTGTTTCTTGTTGTGAGAGAAGTCAAGATCTGTGAAGAAGTTCACGTGAGGGTATCTCTTGTCTTCGAAGTTTCTAGAAAGAAAGCAAATGGTATACACACATGAGGCATCTTCGCTAATCAACTACTATTTTCCAATGTGTTGATACTATTGTGTATGCATATGATTTATCAACGATTACACATGTGACTTACGTGTTGAGCTGGTAGTTCCAGAGTGACCTGGTGCTACGATCAGTGTATTTAGAGCTGAATGTGATCTTGTCTTTCTTGATACTTTGGACCTTGGGCAGGTTGTAGTCAAGAGTTATTAAGGAGCTGACAGTGTTCTTCTTGGTCTGCACATTGCCACTCGCCTTGGCGACCAGGAAACGGGAGGATACCGAGACACTTCCAGAGTACTTGTTGTTGGTAACACCTGTCTTCTTGACATCACCTGATTTGGACATACATGGTTATTGAATACATTCATCAGTGGCAAAAACAACTATACATTAATGTCATTAACAATATTGTAATGAACAGTGTCTTGGCACAAGTCGCCATGCCATCATAGATACCACAAACTGCTCTTCAGATATGCATCCATAAGGCGTTGATTGGTCTGCAACCCTGATTGACAATCATCATAATCCTTGTTTTGTCAGCACTATACCATACCTTGGATTCCACTAAGTCGTAAACATCGAGGACTTGGATCACTTTAGCCTTTCCTTTTACATTTAAATGGCACACCCTGATATAACCAACTTCCTGTTCAAAGGGATGCTAAACTCAAATGACTAACTCTATTCCTCTGTTAGGATGGACTAAATGTTGTTGTGTTTTGGTGGAGTGTCATCATTAGCAGTGATATATCCTGATTTATTTATATAGACGTCATAGTTGACTTCATTGCGCTATATGTATAAGAATTCCATGTCCAAATGTCCACAAAGGTCATGCTTTTTCATATAGCATGAATATGTTCCATCCCAAAATACTTACATTTCAGAGTGATTGGTTTGGCCAAGACCTTGTGGACATCCAGAGTTAGACTTCCCTTGAGGGATTTACCCTCTTTGTAGTCCCCTGATCCGGAGAGGGAGATGAGCTCCAGCTCTGGTGTTTTCACCATCAGTGTGGGAATGACCTTTATGATGGACCTCTTCCTGCCACTGTCCTGATACACCAAACCAACTTCTAGGAGGTAATTCTGCTTTGGGGCCAGGCTGAAGGTACCGACCAGACTCTTCTCGATTTTAGAGTTCAGTAGGGCGGCTGCAAGAGGAATGCAAGAATATTGTCGGTTTCTTGTATTGATTAATTATTGAGTGAGTGAGTTGGATTTAACCCGGCTTTTAGGTATATTCCAGCAATATCATGGTGGAGGACACCAGAAATGGGCTTTACATTGTCCCCATAAGGGGAACTGAACACGGGCCTTAGGTGTGACAAGCGAAATATTTAACCACTATTCCACATCACTGCCGCTTTTGTGTGTGGAAATGCTATGATCGTATTGAATGATAGGTACCCCCTAATTTTACTTACATCTAATGCTGACAGCATTTGGCGTTATACCAGTGAGTGTTAACTGAACATTGGCTCTCTTGAGTGAATTAGTCTCAACAGTGCCAGAGAGTAGGATGACTTTGGCTCCTGGACGTCTTATCTCCAGTCGGGGGGTGTAGGTCACAAATGTCTTTACTTTCTTGATGTCCACTTCACTGATTACTCCATATTTTGCAGATTCATCGACGATCAGATTACCTCTCATGCCTACATTGCTGTTGTCATATGCCAGGGATGCTGAAGAGAGACATAGTTATTAGAACCATAAATCCAAACATAACGAATTGTAAGCTCTATTTTTTATCAACTGCTACAGCAAAGAACATCGCATGACAATTACGCACCTTTGAATGCTGCCTTCTTCCATGGAGATGCCAGGCTGATTTCAAGCTCTTTTCCTTTGGTATTCAGTAGAAAGTCAAAGGCCAAAGATCGGTCTGTTCTGGATCCAGGTGTGTTGACAGCTATCTCAGCAACTGTCGAATACTGGTTCTGAAAGGCAAATATAGACATATTCTGACATCAGTTTGAAAATTAGTTTCAAAGACAAATGACAATGACCTATCTTAACGATAAGACATATCTGCTGAAAGCACTCCAACATAGGCATGTGGTTATGATTAACTATCAAATGGCAATATTAGAAGGAAAACCAAGTACGAATCCCTCAGGATCAGACTCAGTTAATGCCATATTGCATGAAACATTCTCCGTAACTTCGTCTCTATTACTGACTCACATACACGTCAAATGGTCAAAGCATAGGGCATTTCAAACAGTTATCAATGAACTCACCACTGATTGTTTAGCCATGAGCTTGTACCCAGTGTGCGTGTCTCTCTTGTAAAGAATGAGGCTTTGGGAGAAGGGCCCTGTGAAGGGGAAGTATGGGGCATCATCCACCATGGAAGCATTAGGCCACTGGAATTCATTACAAAGTTCCAGACCAGTGATCGTTGCCAGCCTGGTTCCTGTGCACAGTTCCAGCTTCTTCCTGTTGCCTGTGACCAAGTCCTGTGTCTTCTCCTGATCACCATGGATGCTGAAGAACCTTGTGCTGCAGCACACAGAAGGGAATATTATTCCTTTTAAATTACTATGATATATATGTATACAGATTATATTTTGACTGATTGATAGATGCATTGGTATCTAATTCAATAATATAATTGGTGTGTTATGGTAAAGTCGTCTCTCTTTTGCAATGCAATAATAGCTATCACATATATATTTGCTGGTGACAAAACAGGGATAAGAGGGATGGGATAAATAGTGGAGCATCAGTGTATAGAAATGCCTACTTGACATCCAGGATTTCCATCTTCTGTTGTGGAAAGTCAAACTCAGCACTGATGACTTTCCCATGTTTGAGTTCTATGCGGCCTTTTAGGGCAGTACTGGAATGCCATGTGTTGGCAACTCTAAGGCCAGTTTTGGTGACAAAGGCATCCATACTCATCGTGCCAACAATCTTGATAGCTCCGCTGTAAAGGAAGATAATGGGTTTAGACTTAAAATAGTCATTGTTCCACCTATAAATCGCATGACACACATGAAGACCTGCCAAACAACCGTGTAATGACTGAATACTTAATATTTGGGCTAACCTTGGTTTGATGTGTCCATCGATGAGGAGACTGCTTGGTGAAGTTGTCATTTTACGGAGGTCCACTTGACCAGAGGCCAGAAGGTCAATGGTTGCTGTGCCGCTGACGGTGAGGTTGAGAGGGAGACCAGAGCTGGTGGGGATGATCATGCTACTGTCCAGGATATTTGCACTCTGTGTGAAGGAATAATCACGCTTCTTGGTCATCTTGATAAGGAAGTCAAGGAAATTGAAGTCCTTGATAGATGCCAGTGGGTCAACACCTTTGAAGTGATCGTAGTACATTTCATTGCCAAAGATCCTCATGTACATGTCTCCTCTGAGGCGATCCAGGTTAACAGTGCTCTGAAACCAATGGTAAATGTATAGTTTGTGTGAGTGGGTGTGATAGTAGGGTTTTAGAATGCTTTTCTTCATATTCCAGAAATATCATGGAGAACAGCACTAGTTTCACACCATAAACACCCGTAAGGATTGGAATCAAGGTCTTTGGTGTGATGAGCAAACTGATATTTTGATTAAGATGTTCATTACTACATTGTTTGAAAATATTTGTGTGTCTTGTGGGTAAAAGATATTGATGATGAAAAGAAAAGTACCTTTGGTTTCTTGGCTGCCTTCCCTCCAAAGTAGCTGTATGGGCCCAGGTAGTTCTCAATGAGATACTCCACTCCTTCCATGCGTCCACCCAGCTCAAACAGATTGAGGGAGTTCCCAAAGAGATCAACTGTCATGTTGAGCATAGCTGAACGAGGGAAGAAGGATTTATCTGAAAAGATGACATTACTCTCCAGCATGGCACCTGTGTTGAACTTCTCGAGGAAGAGGGAACCTTCATAGTTGCGTGAAAATTTGAGTGTAGAGAGGTCGAAAGTCCTTCCAAGAGTCTTGTCCTCCAGGATTCGTCTGATGGTCTGTTTCTGTGGACTGGATGTTTCCATCAGGTTGGTAAGATGAGACCAGACAAAGGATCCAACTTGATTAGCTTTCTCAGATTCGAGAGATCCCTGGATTCTCCTGAGGACGTCTTCAGATGGACACTGCATGACAGCCAGGTAGGCAGCAATTCTTAGCTCGGAGTCCTCATCAGAATCTTGGTAGATGGTCATAACTTCACTTCTCTGTAATGAAAACACGAATGGAACATTATCATTTCCTAAGTCAGTCAACACCTGGCAATCAGAGAAATACTCTAGGGACTATAAATTAAGATCGTGATACATCAACACATCCACATATCAGGTTAAAATAGTTTGCGGGACCTCACTGTATTTTCCACACATCCAATTTTGAGACAATGGGGCTCCACTGTATGTCGTGACATGAAGATGTATAAAAATCACATATGCTCGAGTAAGATATATATTTCTTTAACTTACATCGGCGGTGCAGGGTAGTCTTCTGTAGGCCTGGATGGCAGCTACTCGGACCTCCGTGGGGTTGGCTTGCCTGTTGAAGCAGCTACTGAGTGTCGTGGTCAGTCTATCCAGGTGGCCTGCATTTCCCAGGGCACGAAGGGCCACAAGGCTTGTCTCCAGATTAGAATCTCTGATGTAGCAGCCGTAACCAATGGTCTTCTCCATGGTAGAGAAGATCTGTGTGATGGCTGATTCGTCAGAACAGGATTCATGGTGGTTGCAGTAGTTGTTGACCATTGTGGAGACTGGGAGCATGGCAGAGCGGCTGTATTCGGGCGAGTCAAGAAGTGCCTATAAAATAGAAAAATGGCGTGAGCTGAAGATTTGCTTAATAACTACAGCGTTTTTCATATTCGAGACACAAAAAAAGAATGCTTTTTAAGAAAAGTATTCACACACTGAATAATGCAGAAGATTTCGTGGCTTGGAAAATCACATTTGAAAACTTTTTTTCAACCAATCAGATAATTGTGGCACACTCTTCAGTAGTGATGTAATTGAAGAGAATCAGTAATACTATGTTTTTGTGTGAGGAGATTATGAGCTGACCTTTACTTCCTGCATCATATCCAGTGTTGGGTAGTTGATGAGAGACAGGGATGTGATCCACATGGTTGCCTGTGCGCCGAGGACTTCCCTATTCAGTAGAAGTTCTTTCAAGAAGGTAACAGATGCACTTGTGCTGGCCATTGGGATAGAGTCCAGGAAGAACTTCCTGAAACCAACCAAATGAAGAATATTTAAAAGTATGTATACAGCAACGATTCCTGTTGGTACAAAATGAAGGGAGTGGGAATAGCCCAGTGGTTAATTGTTCTGTAGCCATGCAGAAGCCCTGGGTTCGAATCCGTACATGGGTAAGAGCCCGTATCAGTCGTTTCAGCTGAAATATTGCTGGATTATTGTTAAGAGAGGCGTAAAACGTACTCACTCACTCAGATGAAACAAAATTGTTTATTCATAAATAAATAAATTATAATGTGCTATATGTTTTTGTCAAAGAAATACATATGGCTTATACTTACTTTACTCTCTCGTTGTTGTCGGTGCAGACTGTGCCAGATTTTACTTGCTGGTAGATACGTCTGAGGTCATCAACATTCTGCTCTTTGACGATACTGACAAGCTCAGAAAACATACGTGGAGTGTCTGGGCGGATATCCTCGCGTGTATTCTGGCAGATCTCTCGCAGTTTACTCTCGGCATCTCTCGCTAGCTGACCCTTGTTTCCTGGGCCGTAGGCATGGTCAAACACAACTCCTGCCCGATTCCGAATGTAATCTAGAAACATCAAATATAATGGACAATTAGAAAAAAATATCAAATATAATCCTTATATTGATGTCAGGAAAATTTTCTTTTACAGAGATAGCGCTTTGAGAATATAGACTGATCACCTTGTCTTGTTGTGACACCAGATCTCTGAGTCTTGTAGTTGAGTCTCTGAAGTACTTTGGTGGTGGCACCGCTGGTGGCCCTGGAGAAAGGTCTGAATGTGTGGGTTTCCCGGATGAGAGCACTCTTGAGGAGTCCATTCTTGTCCAGTTCCTGTTCACATTCGTGTGTACTCTTCATGAGGGGCAGAGACTGGATCTCTGAAGGAACTCTGTACTGCATGCCATGAATGGAGCTGTGATAACCATTACGATCAGTGCAACCAAGGAGATCCTTGCTCTTCTTAATCGTTGTAGAGTACCACCCCCGTGATGCTACAGTGTAGTCGGTGTTGCACTCGCCTGTGACGTCACTCTGTAGCAATTAGGAGAGTGAGGTGAGGTGAGGTGAAATGGGGTTCAACGTTTGTGTGTATCTGTGTGTCTGTGGGCGTGCGTGCGTGTGTGCGCGTGTTTGTCTGTCTGCTAGTACTATTCTTATATCGGTTTTATAGAGCTAGCCAATTTAAATATCATGCGACTCTTTAATAAATACACACTTTCCATCTTTTAACATCTTTATGGTATGACACAACCGGGGATCGAACCAACGACCTTCTGTTCTCCGGGGTTAAGTATAGTAAAGTACATTACATTACATTACATGACATTACATTACAGTATACAAGGTACCCCATTGTGTAAGACCAAATGATGATTTGTTTACCTCTTTTACTCTCTGATTTTGGTCCAGGTTATCCATACTGTTCTGGACAGCAGCGAGAAGACCTCTCTTGATGTTTAGGGCCCATGTGGTTTCACCCTCAGTGGGACACAGTTCTTCCACCACGCCATCTTGGAAAGAAAAGCGGAGGGGGAAACGTTCCAGATTCCGTCTGAACTGCCCTGACTCATCAGCGTACTTCATTGGTGTAGAGGATGATGGATCAGACTGGTAGACTTTCACATCGCGGAGCTGTAATATATGTTTGTAAAATGTCATAGCAGTAATGCACTGCACACGCACATAGCAGCAACAGAATCGTCACACGTGGTTAAACCATAGCTCTATAAGTTGATATTAATATATGTTTGTAAAATGTCACAGCAGTAATGCTCTTGTGGGTAGAATCGTCATATGAAGTTTGCCTTTGACTCTTGACTGGCCTTTGCATGTGTTTGTGACGGGTGCTAAAAGTGGGGCAGGGTACGATAATTCTTTCGCGAACACCTGTTATCGTCACTATTTGATAGTGATTCATAAACATCCTTATGATATAGTCGGAATCGTAGGACTCTGCGTTTAGGTTTTATCTTTTATGTAACCAAGGCTGTAATTTTGTTGATATCAATATACGTTTGAAAAATGCCATAGTAGAAAAAATGCACTGGGACGTGATCAAGCTATGGTTAAGTGGACAGTAATGGATTGAATTGTCTCTGTTTCCACTTACCCTAAGCACCATGTCGCACTTAGACAGCACCTCAATGTCAGCAGTTGCCCGGATGCCAAGAGTCGCTTGATCGCTGGACGCTCCTTCCATGGATGTATGTGTCTGAACATTGTACTCGAATTCATAGGTTTGTCCGGGGACGTAGTTGAACTTGGTCGTGTCTAAAATAGCAAGAACCTGGTATCAGCAAGAATTTAAATGAGTGGAGAAACAGATTTTCAGATATATCACGGACTGCCAGGTTAATATTGGAGAAACGTCAACAATGTTATTGCAAACAGAGAAAACGTGTATGATGCTAACAACCAAAGAGCACAATCAGCGTGAAGCCCACGACGAGCGGATCCTGGCAAGAAAGAGGGACGTAACTCTGAAGAGATTCGTGGCGTCTTAAACTACTAGTTAACCCATGCTCCAAACAGCAGGGACATGAACATTCCACTGAATATGCCATAGATACATATTTTATATAAAAAGATAAATTAATCATCTAGCTACAGTGAGCAATTGATGAACTGTTGTACTCACCTCGGCATCGTCTGGCGCAGGATGTAGTTTCGTCACGTGATTGGTAGGTGATGGGACCTAACATGAGACAACAATATTTTATCAGAGTTAAAAATGGTGTAGAAAAATAGATTTTCTATTAAATTATAACATTGATATCAAACAGATTTGAAAAGTACCTGCAGTATTATTTTTGATGTTATGTTTATGTCACACAGAAAAAGAAAACGTATATGAAACCTTTTTTTCATGGCATGAGGGGCGGTCGGGTAGCCTAGTGGTTAAAGCGTTCGCACTTCACGACGAAGACCCGGGTTCGATTCCCGACATGGGTACAATGTGTGAAGCCCATTTCTGGTGTCCCCCGCCGTGATATTGCTGGAATATTGCTAAAAGCGGCGTAAAACCATACTCAGTCAGTCATGGCATGAAATGACGTTTTTGATACGACATAAGTTAAATATCCAACTTACCTGCCAATGCACTTGCTAGCAGAGCTAACAGCGTAAAGGCTGTTGTTGAATACATAGTGTTGGGTTCTCGGGGAGACCCTTCCCGCAGTCGTGTGTCTGTATGATGGCTGCTTGCTTGACACTGTAGTGTGATGGGACGTGCGTCACTCCGTCCTGGCTTCTGAAGCCAGCGGGCACAGGGGGGTATTATATACAGCTACGGGCTGTTCAAAGGTGACTTTATTGCAGATGCTGACCAACGCTATCAGTGACTTTTGTCCATGTTGTAGTAGGCAGATATAGTACATCTATATATACAACATTGCAGTGTGATCAGCAAAGAGATAACTTTTGATAACATACCGATTAGGGGCTTATTAGACAGTATATGCAGCCCTTTGTGAAGATGATGTATAGCATTGACGAGCACACATGTAACAGTAATGTAGGTTAATCAGACTTTGATCTGTGTCAATTTCACAAGCGTGTGAAGTAGTACAATGTAGGTGAGAGTAAATGCGTTTCATAACGATAGTGAGCTGCCAATCTATAATTTTTTACCTTATTTCAGTTGATGAAAAACATTCTCCCTGCCTTTGTGAAAGTGTACTTTGGGGAATGGATCATAGCAATGAGTGTCCATGTTACAGTCAATGTTTAAATGTTTCAGTTGGTAAATTCCACTGTTTGTTTACAAATTGCATGAAGCTTTCAGTATTTTCTTCTCACCTTCAAATGCTGTAGATGCAAAAATAAAATCAAAATCATATGCATGAGAGCGAGTGAGTGACTATGGTTTTACGCCGCTTTTAGCAATATTCCAGGAATATCAAGGCGGGGGACACCAGAAATGGGCTACACGTATTCTACCCATGTCGGGAATCGAACCCGGGTCTTCGGCGTGACGAGCGGATGCTTTAACCACCAGGCTACCCGACCGCCCCCATATGCATGAGAAGAATATAAACATGGTAAACAACTGTAAGAATTTATTGAGTATGTTTTGCAATGAATTGAAGAAATAGTTGAAGGACAACATAAATCAGTCAAAACATGACTGACTTTGATTAACTCCTTATTATGTTCTCAAATGATTGAAAGGTAAAGAGTGAGTGAGTAAGGTTTTACCCCGCTTTTAGCAATATTCCAGCAATATCACGGCGGGGGACACCAGAAATGGGCTTCACACATTGCACCCATGTCGGGAATCGAAACCCGGGTCTTCGGCGTGACAAGCGAACGCTTTAAACACTAGGCTACCCGACCGCCCCCATATGCAAGAGAAGAATATAAACATGGTAAACAACTGTAAGAATTTATTGAGTATGTTTTGCAATGATTTGAAGAAATAGTTGAAGGACAACATAAATGTGTGATGGCGATTAGGTGCCTCGCTATGACAATGTTGATTCGAATCCCGGATAGGACTCAATAAATACTAGAATCTGTACTTTACTAAGAAAGTGTTATCCCAAATATAACATTTGTTATTTTCGCATATTGCAATAACGACAAGGACATTTAGTTTTAAGGCATATATCTAACTCACTCACTCACTCACTCACTCACTCACTCACTCACTGGTGGTATGTATTACGGAGTCCCCCTACACTATATGTAAAAGTCAGGGCTGACATATATATTTAATGCTATGATATCAATAAATTAGTTACCATCAGTAACTAGACGAGTGAAAATTGATTTCATGTATCTACTATATTTAACAGCTGTTAATGTAGAAAAGAAGACACGTGTTCTAATTCGCGTTTAAAGATGTGAAGTGATAAATGCTAAAAAATATTGTAACCTTTTATCAGTTTTGATGTTAATTAGATACGAAGTCCAGGATCTGATATCATTCCATTTCAATGTTATCAATATGGCACGTGCATATTATCTTTGACGTGTGCACTTCCATTGAACTGTTGACTTTAGATTCTGATAAAGGAGGGCGGTGAGGTAGCCCAGTTACTCCGAACACCCGGGTTCGATTCCCGACATGGGTACACTGTGTGAAGCCCATTTCTGGTGTCCCCCGCCGTGATATTGCTGGAATAAAATCTCTCACTCACTCACTTTGATAAACTGAAGGGAAAAAGAATGCATACGAAGTTTGTAATTGAAAATTAAATGAACAGTTGTTTAATTACACTATGCAACAGTGTGTAAAAAGTCATCTTTGGCTGGGTAAATTAAAAAAAAAAATTGTTTAATGAAAACTGGGGTAAGAAATAAATTTGCAACCACATGAACCCTATGTTTGAAATTTGTGCCGAAAAAAGCATCAAAGGTAAGATATCTAATATAACCTTCAGCAGAGGTTTATTGTGCGAATTTTTATTTCTAATTTTTAATAGTTTCAAATCATAATATATTTTTCAAAATAAAACCATGTTAAAGTATTCAGGAGTGCTGACTAAACGACCGTACATTTTATTATTTTTTATATCGCTGACTTGAGATACTTTCAATTGAAAATCCACACATGACAAATTTAAGTCACGTAAGTGAGAGGTACAGTTGCTATAACTTATCAATTAAATCAATGTCAGACCATAAAACACAAACATCTTGTAAAAAATAGGAGTAACACTGCGGTATCAGCCTTTTTACTTATCCCCAGGACTCAACTTTGAGGGCTGAGAACGACCCACGTCTGTCAATCGTCATGGAAAGAGGACAACTGGTAATGATTATGGATTGTACGTATGAATATAACAATATCACATCTATCTCATGCCCATTAAAAAACTGTAACACTCGATATAGATAAAGATGAGGTGTCACTGTATAATGATTCACCCTGACTCGGCTGGATCAACACCATATACATGCCTGTGTGTTTCACAAACGTGGCGACCCGTGAAAATCCGAGTTAGAATAGGTCTTCAGCAACCCAAGGCGAAAATGCTTGTCGTAAGAGGCGGCTAACGGGATCGGGTGGTCAGGCTCGCTGACTTGGTTGATGCATGTCATCATATCCCAATTGCGTGGATCGATGCTCATGATGTCAACCCATGGATTGTCTGGTCCAGACTCGATTATTTACAGACCACCGTCATTCAGCTGAAATATTGTTGAGTGGTCCAAGCTGACACGGTCTAAAATATTATACTGAACTTACTGTTCAAAGCAGCGTGACATTCACTCTCTCATTCACAGAGCCGAGCGTACATGGGGGTGTGGGGGTTGGGTGTGGTGTGGGTGTGTGTGTGTGTGTGTGTGTGTGTGTGTGTGTGTGGGGGGGGGGGGGGGGGGGGGGGGGGGTAAGTTGGTAAGTTGGGGAAAGTTATTTGCTTATGAAGAATGTGTTGTTGATCATAATTCGCTTCCACCAAACTCCATCACGAGGACCATCTTTACGATGCGGGGCGCAAGGCTCTGTACTATTTTATAGGCTTCCAAACGAGCTTAATTAACTAATCGTTTGTGAGGTTTTAATCACATGCTGAGGGGGATAATAGAGAATATGTTACTTGAACAAGGACACATATACGGTATATGGTCTCTGCTTGAACAAGGACACATAACACGTGTGGTTTTCATGTTGTTTATCAAAGGATTATCTAATCCTATTATCTATCTTCAATATGAGTGAGTGAGTGAGTGAGTGAGTGAGTGAGTGAGTGAGTGAGTATGGCTTTACGCCGCGTTTAGCAATATTCACGACCGGGGACAAGAGAAATGGGCTTCACACAATGTACCCTGTGGGTCTTCGGCATGACGAGCAAACGCTTTAACCACTAGACTACCCCACCAACCCTCTCCAATATGAGTGAGTATGGTTTTACGCCGCGTTTAGCAATATTTCAGCAATCTCACGGCGGGGGACACCAGAAATTGGCTTCACACATTGTACCCATGTGGGGGATCAAACCCGGGGCTTAGGAATGACTGGTGAACGCTTTAACCACAAGGCTACCCTGCCGCCCTTTTCAATATAAACATTGTTACAGATGACACAATGTGACACAATCTGTTACACATATTATTTTCGAAGCTTGTAAGGTTAAAAGTTAAAAATAATTAATAGTAAATTTAACAACCTTCTGTAGCTCATGTTGACGATTTCATGTCCTTAAATTATAAAAATGAGGGTTCAAACCCCTAAAGTTTTATGTGTTTTCTGACAAAATATGAAATCTTGAAAAATTAGTGCACATTAATTGAAATGTGGCTCCAGGACAAGATAGGCATGAATAATTGGCAATTACTGTCCATTCGTGAAAATAACGGATAATTATATGAATGACGTCATAGACAAGTTTTTAACGAAGGTACTCGTTATGAGATTTCACTGAATATATTTTCATTTAATTATTATATTCCATTGATTTAAGCCTCCGTGGTCGAGTGGATAGCACGTTTGCCTGGAGAGCGGAAGGCAGGGATTTCTGCCCTTCCTGGCGCTCGGCATTATGGGAATAAAACAAAGAGTGGTCAAGTAAGACACACACACACACACACACACACACACACGTGAATGCACGTCGCTATTAAGTGCTATAATCTTGAACGCGACGTTAAACCCATTTCACACCACCTAGATCATACAGATACTAGTACTGCAGCTGAGCATGTATGCAATAGTGGATGAGAGAGATATTTCAGTTGCGCATCACTCGGCCTACCACGTGTCTTGTTTAAACATCAATAACATCAACCATTTGGGAGTTTGGGGACCGTAAAGCCAGAAAAACCAAATCACAATTCTGTCTGTCCTTGTGACAGCGATACAAAAATGCATACCCCTGATACATCAACGTTTAAATACCCCTTTAACTCATAAAGTCTTGTTCGACAGGGACCACATCCTCCAACCGACAAGAACTGATCCAGGCCCTTCTACTACGCCTAGTCGTTAGGTTGAAATATCTCCAATTATATTCATAGCGACAGTAGGCGTGTTTTTGAAACATTTAACTTTTCTGGTCGGGACAAAGAAAACCAAATGGTTTTCATTTTTTTCACATTTCACATTTTGTTTTTGGACTCAAGTTGTACAACCAAATTGGCAATTTCGTCAGTAATCCAGGCGATCATGGAACCAAAATAGATATAGGCATGGATTATGTTGAGCTAGGTTTAGGTGTTTAATCAAACGTATTACCTCCAGTGCTATTTAAAGGCGCCGTCCATGTATTGGACGGACACCGAAAAAATGTGCAATACCAAAGG